TAACAAAGATAAACAAAGCCCTTTATGGGATCAACTTCAGTAAATTATTGATTCGGTTTCAATGTGACTCAACTAAGTGCTCAGTTCTTCTTTCCTTTATTCATTTACCTATTTCAAGTTCTCCTCATTTTGTACCCAATAGTCCATTTTAAGAAGTTATACTCAGTAATCTTAGCCTATGTTTAGAGCAGCAAAACGCTGAGGAATATTTACAGACGTCTAAACCAGATGGTGAGCTGACATTATCCAATTTTCATTTCTACTGCCAGGCATGTCATTTGTGCTACCACTCTTATTGGTGGTATTATAAATCAAAAGATGCTGGCCTAATTTGGTTACCTGCTTGGATGGGGCATCATTAATCTATTATTTTGAATTTTACAATCATTAACTAAATAATTTACAATTGAATCCGTTAAGTACAATTTTATTCAGTAACAGAACTCCTTTACTTGATGCTTTGTGAATTGTTCAGCAAACCAATGGGTTTAATCTGTTTTAAAGATATTTTTATTGAGGACAAACTTATCTTTTTTGTGATGTTATCTGAGAACTATGGCCTGCAAGCTCCCCCCATTTCAACATCTAGAGATGATGCACTTTATTCAATCAGCCATATCAGGGTTTGTTAATATATTGTTGACCTGCAACATTATCAGACAAGATAAAGTTATTTGACCCAAGTATAAACAAGTTACTTTATTTTAATCTGATTTAACTTCCTCCTACAAATCCCCTATCCTCTGCTGCTATTCAACACTCCTGGGGGTTAGACCTTCAAATTACACTTAATGAGGCATTATGGACTGAAAATCTGTCCTCAAATCGACCCGTGTGATTGGTTTAAATCCAAAGAAGAATACATATGTTTTGGTTTTCTGGAATCATGTTTGTAAAGCACTTTATGCTATAGTCACAGCTAAGATAACCTCAAAACTTATTATGGCCTTTTTTGAAGCCATTCCTCAGTGTTTCCTTAAAATCTGGAAATCATTTATAACTTGTTTTTGCTTTTTTATTTACCTATTCTATTATCTATCTATCTTTTTTTTTCTAAATTATTCTGTTTGGTTATGAGTTGTTATTTATGTATATTTCTTTACTGCCTGCTAACAATTCACCATGTATCTTTAAAGTGACACTTTCAACCCATAATCCATCCTACCCTGGACCAGTCACAGTCTATGGTGACAAAAAGCAGTCTTACAAACTGTTTCTTCTTGTCTGTCGACAAACGGGTCATCTCCTCTTTGTCTGCCTTCATCTCCTCCTCATTGTACTGGAAATCACGTACTGTATACCTGATCCAGAAAACACAGTAAAAACAGACATGCAGGAGTGTGCATTTCAACTACCCGCTGGATAAAAAGGAAAATGAAATAAAAGCAAACTGCATTATGTGTGTTGCCTGTTTTGCTAAATGAGAAGGTCAAGAGCAGAGCAAATTACAGTAGGGAGGGTTAAAAAAACCTACCTCAGTCGTTACTATTAAACCATATCTGTTAAAAGGGATGGATTCCTGGTGTATATATCAACATGCTTCATTACAATAACTGAACTAAACTAAAATGATTTACAAAAGCTTGGAAAAGGCTACAGATAGGGAAAGATCTGCTGACAACACAGGTTAAAAAAAAAGCAAAAAGGCTTAAAGGAAATGCATCTCTGTTTGTGGCAGTAGTTGCCTTTATTCACAGCAAAATCAACAGGCGTGTATATTGGAGGGGAGGGGTCTTTCAACATAAATGATCATAATTAGAGCTGATTAGTGTGAAAATATGTTTTTTTTTTTTTTTATTTAGGTTTATAGATGTTTCTGCTTTAATTTGATTTTTTTTTTTCTGGAAGATCCTTATTTAAAAAAAACCAGATGTTCAGGATTTTCATTGAAGACGTCCCTGGCATTATAAAGAGTTTATGAAGCCATGGACTCTGCCAAGGTTTTATGCAAAGACACTAATCCAGTTAACTTCCACTGGTTGGGTTACTTAGCGGAAAATAACTAAGCCATTGATGCCCACTTAGAAATAGCTGGTAAATTATGATGAAATGGATATGTTTTCATTTCTCAGGGTGATCATTAAAGCACTGCATCATAAGGGGGTGCCAAAAATACCAGGGGTGTCAACAAAAATGTCTGAATGGAGAGAAATTACTTGTTTTCTCTAGCTTTGTGTTTGAAGTCGTCTACAGCCTTCCTGAAGAGCGTCACGCTGAAAAGACCACTTTCATTGTCTTCATAGAGCTGCCTGCAGAATACAGAGGAAAACATGTTAAAACTAGAAACTTTCTGCATCGTTCAGCCACTAAAGGAGAGAATGCATAACATTAACTTAACACTAAGCTTCACAGCTTCTTTTTAGCTTGTGGTAAAAATGTCTTCTAAAGATTTCTGATGTGCAGCAGGAGGTCAGCTTCATTAACACACAAAAATAGTCACACATTTTCTGTTTGCTCAACCTGTTAAAGGTCAGAAATACTATATGATGCAAAGGATAAAAGGAAAACTGGCCAATGCTTTTTAATATTATTGCTTCTTTCTGAACCTCAGCAGCCATGAGATTTGAAGTATAAAAACAAATAAAAACCTAAATATTAGAGTGGCCTAGTCAAAGTACAGACTGGGACATTAAGCATCACTTAACTTAATTGAATCTTATTCTAGCTAATAATTAACACAAAACTAATACTGATAACATACTGAAAATGGAAATTGTTCCCATATTGGGGAAAAAATGAGAACCTGGTTATATTAGTCTGAGTCTAAAAGCAGTGATTTAAGCAATCAGATATAAACACTCTGCTGCTCCAGCAATCCTCTTCATCATTCAGCAGCCTTTAATCCGCACACAGAACAACAGTCTCTAAAAGGACGTAACTCTACTGCAGTAGGAGCGATTTCGGCAGTTTGCCTGTGCCTTTGGTTACAGTCTGAAATAGACTTTGCAGCCGAGTATAAAACTTGTCACATTCACTACTTTATTCAGTTTTAGAAAAAACTATGTTTAAAAAGAAATCTTTTGTAATCTATTGTTAGCAGATCAGCTGAACAATGAAATGATTCATTGATTGATTATTTTATTCACTCACTGATTCATTTAAATTGTTCATGTAGCGACAAAAGTTGTGAATGAAAAGAAGCAGGAAGTATAAACTTATATCTGTCCGCTATTCACACACAATAAAAATTTGCTATTTAGCTTAAGATGAATACATTCATATTTCAAATACACTAGGGGTCCAACTAACGATATTCTTTTGCAAAGCGCTTTATCTGTTGATAATTTTTTCGATTAATTATCAGATATTTTTATTAAATTAAACCAGGAAAAAATTCCACCTGTGGATTTCTGGATGGAGCATATTGACAGACAACCATTTTTTTTTCATCTTAAATGCAATATGTTTACCGTATATATTTTTACAATCTGGGTATAATTACTGCTCTAAGGGGGTCGCTATGTGAGCTAAAGGTTTATTTTAGAGTCTCTATACATCAGTTAACAATTAATCGATTACTAAATTAGATAACAAATTTTTCAATCATTGATTAATCTGATTAATTGTTTCAGCCCTAAAATATACACACAAAAAGTAAACAATAGAACATCAGCTTCCTTCATGAGTCATTGCTTCATCATTGTGATTTTCACATTTCATTTAAATCTACATTTAAAACCATGGTTGTTCTCATAACTCTAGTTGTTGACTTTTGCTCTCCAACTAATATCATTTAAAACATTGCAGACTACAAAATAAGTAATAAAAGAATGCATGATTTGCGCTGATATCATTATCAATCAATACCCACAGCTGCAATATCAGTATTGTGTTGGAAATAGAAAAATTATTTGCAGAGACACCCCTACAAATCAATCTTATTTAATCAATTTCAGTTTATTAGTTGCAATGAAATAAACTACTTATTTTTTTATCTTTAAAGATAAATTTAAGGTTTACTTAGTGTGATTGCAGGAAGGCCCAAGAAGAGGCAATCATGGTAATTATTGGGTCAAAACTATTCGCTGTTTTCCAAGTTCAATCAATACCGTGTCAATGAATTATTGCATGAAGTGATTGCCGCGAGTGTTAAATGTTTTTAAAAAAAAAAAACTGCCCAAATAGGCGACTGGGATGACAACTCATTTATATTTGTGTACTTTAGATAACGGTTGAGTAATAGCAATTCTCTAAAGATGACTGAGCTAAAAATTCCTTCACATCCCTGTGAAATATCTACTATAGAATGTATGAAAGGGACATACTTAGTGGAACGGGGTACGACCATTTCTGCCAGCGTCTCATACGTCTTCTGCCAGTCCGCATAGTTAGTCCTCGAAGAAAGACAGAAAATAAGACCTTGGAGTTTTTTAAATTAAATAAACATTGAAAAAACATATATGCACACATATATACCCACACAGTGAAGGAACATAATTCCATGAAAATAATGGTTTAAAGGTACAGGGAAGTTAACAGTTATATTTTAAAAAGTATATCTTCATATTATCTACTTCCAGCAGTGGAAATGCAGAATATATCTCTTATTTCAGTCACACAGATATTATTAAAGATTGTCCTACTTAGGGACGACCACCAGCATGGTAACCAGGTACTCTGAGTCCAGCACAAAGTCCTCTTTCTTCACTATGTCAGCGAGACTCCTGGTCAACAAACTCCCTCTGAAACAAGACACAACGTCACTCCCGACCTCTGGCTAAACAGTTATCCATATGCAGAATGTTCTCCACCTCAGGATCATAATCATCTGAACCTCTTTTGGTATTTTTTTTTTTTTATTCAGTTATGAAAACTGATAATAATGGAAACACATGTGTTTGCATGTACTTCAATTGTACTCACGCATTCTTCCTCTCCAGATTCTGCAAGTTTCCTTTCAGGTTGTTGTAAGCTGAAGCTCTGGCCTTCAGGTCATTGTCTATCTGAGTGACTTGCTGGAAACCAACAGGGAACCAATTAATTTCTTTAAGGAATTCTCCTCCATTACTGGAAAGTTAACGTACCAAAGAAAAACTTGAAATTTCTCCTTAAATTTAAACCATTATTATATTATATATATAAATATTTTTTTAGAAAATGTAAATGAAAAACTATACATATATATAAATATATTAAACTGCATATAGTTTTAAAAGGCCGTGTTCAATGAGTGTTTTGATAAAAAGGTTTAAGCAAAATTGCAAAAACGCATTTTTATACACTTTCTAAAAGATTCATCAACTTTTCTTAAAAAAAAAAAATAAATAAAAATAAAAAAACATGTCGGTCGGAGATTTAAAAAAATCGACTTTCTAAAAAATAAATGTAAAAATTAAGTCAGACAGTCAGGTGGCCGGGTTTACCTTGGAGACGATCTCTGAGATGTTTTTCAGGGATTGTTTGATCGGGTATTTAGCCATATCCCACTGAAATCTGGTGATATAGGTGACCATGTCGACTGCAAACCAAATCAAAGTCATTATCAGCATTATCTGAGAGGTTGACCTTATAGATTTTGCATGTAGATTGTAATGAAACAACAGAAGGGCTTTGTTTTATTACGGTTTAAAGATATTGTGTTGCAAAGGTATTCACATCCCTTTAACCTTTTTACCCATTTTGTTATAGTAAAAATCTAATTCTGTATGTTGTGATAGAGTGTTTAAAAAGATTGCTCGCAAAATATCTGAAAAGTGTGGCATGCATCTATAAATAATAGAACATGTTCTTTACTTGTTTACTGAGTGAACTATATACTTTATGGCCAGTTCACAAATGGGGTTGTTATGTAGTTCTTTATGCAATAACTTTTTTTTCTAAAGTTATTTTGTCAGATATGTGGAGCAAGATTTCCATTCCTCTGCAGCTGCAACAGTTGTCTGATCCTTCAACAGGTTGCTGTAGATCTTAATAGCTGTAAACAGGAAGGATCCCCTGTAGCGGACTGTCTCACAGCAGGTCTGGAGAAGCCTCTGACTGAAGAAACTGCTGTCATTCAACATTCCTCTGAGGAAGATTCTCAGGGCTCTCCATGACGTTCTTTATTTTATGATTTGTATTTTTTTATATTTAATTTTTTGTTAGGCTATTATCAAATTCTGATCAATTATACTGAGGTTTTTCACTTTAATGGGGCAAAATGTAAAGAGGTTCTATGGTCATGAATACTTTTGCAAGGCTCTATATTTTAATGAAGTTTACCTCCATTGGCCAGGAGGTTCTCCTGGACTTTGTCTCTGCTGTCCTCCAGAACATCAGCCATGTACTGAGCCACCTTCTTCACCACACTGGAGATGGGGTTAAAAACCAGGAAGAGGTACAAAGAAAATGAGTGATTTATATTAAGTTTCCTACTGCCAAAAAAAAGAAAAACCAAAGTAGTGGAGTTTACCTTTCCACAAAAGTGTCTAACTTGGCGAGCTCATCGGACAGGCCCACTAACACGTCAAGAGTCCCAACCTGTTAGATGTAAACACGAAATTAAAACACAAAAATAATGAAATAGCTTAAAGAAGACATAGAGGGGGAGGTTCTGCATCACCTTAAGATCTGGGATGTTGAACTTGTGGTTGGTGGACAAATTATTGGTGCGTGTGGTGGCCACCATCAGCTTGTCCCAGGTCTGCTGACAGGTCTTCTCTCCCGGAGCAGAAATTAACCAGAATTCTGTCATGGCTGCCCACAGAAAAGTTTATTCACCCAGCCGCTGGTGTAGGAAAGTACAGGAAGAACAGTAATTATGAGATCAGAGGACTGATTAGGCATACAGGTGTCTGTAAAACATTTCAGCTAAAGAACATGTTTCAAGTTTAACAGATGTTGGGGGGGTGCAATTGTAAAATAAGACAGTCAAGTGATTATTAAGGCAAATGCATTATCAGCCTGATATGTATCACCATGACAATAATGTAGCTAATTAGTTATATGAATAAAAATAAGTAAATAAAGGAAATAAGTTATTATCTGGTGTAGACCACCCTATCGATCATCATATTCTTTATGATGCCCTGTATAAAGCTGTATCCACCACAACTTTATGAGTTTAATCCGCTCAACATATTATACAACATTAACATCATACAATAGTACCAGAGTATTACTTTTTAGAAATTTTGACAAAACAGAACCGTGTTGGCTTTGTTGTTGATTTGTTTGACTGTTGATACCTCACTTTAGTTGTAATTTTGATTATCTGTTCTTATGCTACTCTCAACGTTTCAGATTTTTGTAAAGGTTTAATGATTCATTTAAAGGATGTTGAGTGTTTATACATGTCCTATAGAATGAAAAATCAATAAAAATAGGATGCGTTGGCCGGGAATCGAACCCGGGTCAACTGCTTGGAAGGCAGCTATGCTAACCACTATACCACCAACGCGACACATTGAGGTCTCCCGAAGTTGCAAAAATCAGATAAAGGGAGCCCGTCTCTGAATCTTACCTTTTTATCTTTTTTTCGTCATTCATTCATTTTACTCATATAACTAGCTCCACACTTCCTATTATTTTCTAGCAACAAGCGTCCGCGGAACTGCAAATTGAAAAAGGAGGTCTGCTGATACACGGTCATATGACCAGGTTAATCAAGCTGTGAAGCGATGCTAAAAACTGATCCTCCACTTGAACAAACGGGCATGAACATCACATGACCACCGAGCGCTCCTCTTTAAATTGAAAACTACACACAATGTAAGAATAGAAATCTATGAAAAGCAGCTAAATAAACACCATAATGTAAGGCTTGCTGCTGTGGACACGGGTTGTTTATCGCTGCAGCCTCACGCTGTCACGACACCGATAACTGGAGGATCTCTGCACTTACCGATGAGCCTGGCCGTCTCAACACTGTGTTCAATGGGTTTAACTCAGTAAAACAGGCGCAACTTCCCAAATATGTGGCTCAAAATAACGTGTTTAACATTCACAGGTCCTTCAACTGGGCATCTCACTCATTGTCAGCTGATCAGAGAAGAGGAGCTGCGTTTGCGCAACCACTCTGCACGCTACTGCCTCCTAGTGGTGACAAAGAGACAAGCAGTAAATTGCATTTAAATCTGTAGAGGAAATGCTCTATATGGAGGCCCAACTCTGCCACATTTAAAAATAAATACAGATATAAATAAATGCTCAATAAATGAATAAGCATACAATTAATTGCCCCCAAAATACAATAAAAAAATAAATCTAGGTAGAAATTAAATTATACAGTGAGACATAAATGTATATATCTCTTTTAATTAGCTTCTTTATTTATTCACCTTTGTGATAATTACCTTATTTGTTTATTGTCCATTATAATCTTCAACTTTATTTATTACTTATTTTTTTAAAGTATTTATTTATTTGTATGTGATAATACTTTTGTCTGTTTTATTCTTCCTTTGTATTTTTTTTACCCTATTTATTTCTTCAACTCTATTTATTTCTAAAAGGAGAGTTACTTTATTAAGAGTTTTTTTATAACTTCATTCAAATTTGGAAATTTAAAATACATTTTCTCAGCTTCGATAGAATTTTCTTTTTAACTGTGTGACTTATTTTAAGGATTTGTTCTCTAAATATCTAGACAAAACAAAGAAGTCACTCCCAAAGTTCACATATGGGATAGGGTTTTTATGCTAGCAAGGGTTGCCCTTTTTCCTCCAGCAGTTAAATTTTAAAAAAGACTACAGGATATGTCTCAAAAAGCAAAAGACGTACGTCTGTGTCCATTTTTAAACTGCCATTTGTCTTTTTTGAGTGATTAGGCTCTTCTTCTCAGCTTGGCCTTTTAGCCATATCAGTACAAGGCTCTTTTCCTTGTGGACGATTCCTCGTTTGCTTGTCTTCTGGGTTTGATTGATATTTCACACCAAAACATCATTATCCTCTTTACACAGAGTATGTAATTTTATTGGAACAGATGAATGTGTCCCTTTTAATCTTCTGGAAATTGTAAAAAAGGAAGCACAAGACTTGTTAAGGTTCACAATTCTCCGCCTATCTTGATCAATATTTTTCATTATATTTTTTATGTATTACAATATCCGCAGGTAGAAAAAGTATTGGCAATAGTTTAAGAATTTATTATTGAAAACAATGTGTTAAAACTGAGATAATTTTATGAACCCCTGTGAAAAATTGAGAAAATTATTAAACACAGTAAAAGATTTTGTTTGGTTCAAAGGCAGACTAGACACATTCAAAAAAGCTTTGGTTCTGAGATCTAGAGCATTTTATGTCTGGAGGGGGATTTATGCTTTGTATTTTAAATGCATAATTTTTAACACCTAAATCCATTAGTTTTGCACAGGATATTGGATATAATATTAACATATTTTACAAACCATTGCCACTCTGTGGTAAGATAAAAGTACTGTTCTGTGCTACAACTGGATATAGCTTATTAGCTGCTGCTGATAGATAACAGTAGATTTCTAGAAATCATTAGCTGTAATAATCTATATTTAAAGTTATTTTGTTAAGTTTTCACCTTTATAGTGCACAGCTGAACTTTTGCATAACGTGAGGTTAGAAAGAATCATACTTCGTACCAATTTTAGTGGGGGCGAGTTAAGCTGTTATCATAGAAAGATGCTTCAAATGCTGCCTGTTATGAGATTTATTTACTTAGAAAAAAACTTTTTTTTTTCCATAGAAAATTTGACTCCATTATAACTTTTTTCAACAGAATGTTTCAGTCAATTTGACATTAGAAATACCGCTCCTTAGAATAAATTCTCTTCAGCATACATCCCTCTATATATTGTTCCTTATAAATCATTAGGCATAGAAAATAATTCTATTTTTGTCTTTTAATATTTCAGACTTTATTACCTATTTTTGTTTTATTTTTGCATGGGTTTTCGAAGTATGCAAAACTGATTATTTACGCTGGTTTCATTTTTTATCTGTTACTTCTGGCTCAAAATCAAATTTCCTTTTTCTAAACAGTGAATGCTTTTAATGAGACGCTGTGGGGCAAGAGCACAAAATTGGATTTTATCCCCATCCTCATGTGAATATCAACGCACATTACTTAGTTTCCTGTAAAAGTTTGCAAACCTGATCTTTTATCTCGGTAATATTAAAATAGAAAATAAAAACTGAAGTAAAAGGAGATCCTTAAAATCCACTAAAATACAATTATTGTTTGATTGAACTTGGTTTGTAAAATCTTAAAGATGGATTATAAAGAGGTAGATTAAAACTTTTTAACAGATATGAAAAGAGCTTCCTTTTTATTCTCAGTGTTCAGTGTCAAAGAGTTAAGAGAGTTAATGTCAGTGCCATAAAATAAAGATAAGGGCCTAGGGCGGCCAAACACACTTCCACCATAGCACAAAAACACAAGTCATATGATCATAGCAGATGCAGGTCAAGTTTTGCTGCTTATTTTAAGAGTGTGTACAAGGTTTTATATAACACAGCATGCTGGATTAGAAATTTCTCTCATTAATCCGGATTTTTCAAAAGGGGTCAATTAAGTGACTATAAGCAAAAAATAAGACAGGGAGTGACAGAAAACTTAAGAGTTATATAGTAAGTCTACATATCTTAATCCCCACATTCCATGACACTTAAGCCGACAGACTTTAAAGTGAAATTAGATTTTTAAAATGTTTAATTGGCTGGAATGGGCTGATCCTTTTGCAAAAAAAAAAAAAAGGCTTTTTAAATCACTAACTCTCACAACTTTCCCAGGAGCATCTTAGTGTTATTTGTTCCCTCAGACTTAAAGCAAACCATGGATTTCAAGCTATAAATTACCTGGAGAAAAACAAACAAAAAAGTTTGCATGATGAGCATTATTAATATGCATTATATGTTGCCTAACCCTGTTGCAGAGTAACAAATGGTATGTGCTTCCCTGTTTTGTAAAGGGTTTTTATTTTAATTATTTAGTTTTTTGTAACAGCAATTACAATCATGTTTTTTTTGCGTTAATCTGTGGGAGCTTTATGGAAAATACTTACATGAAGTTGCACATAATTGGTTAAATGGAAAAAACATGATAGATGGATTTAATTTTGTTTTTAACCATTCAATGTTGACAAAGTACCATGTTTTTATATTTACTTCCTCCGGGCCCAATCAGTATTTAGCAGAACCTTCTTGTGTTTCAAATTTAGTTTCATGCTTTTGACGCATGCTTCTAGCCTTTTTTCGAGATAAACAGACTCAACTTTTTTTTCTATCCTTCTTTGTGAAGCAGTTTTTGCTTTTACTAGCTGAGGTCAAACTTCTAAATAAGAACTAGTTCTAACCTTTCTTATCTGGTTAAATTAATGTTAAATGGAAATTGATAGACAATAGTGAAAAGTCTGTCAGAGACACACTTTTCATTTAATGTCGGGGAAATGGCAGCCTAGTGGATAGGGCATAGAGCGTAGAATCCTGAGGTTTTGAGTTTGAGCCCCACTTCCACAGACTGCTACTCTGGGTCAGCTTATAGTTAACTGATTTATAGCAATGTCAAATTTTACTGAAATCATTAAAAATGTTTCCTTACATCAGTTATTATCTATTCGTTGCTGATCTATATATCTAAATGTATGCAAGTAAAAAAAGAAGCCTACTTGAATAAACAGTGAAAACAAGTTTTTCAAAAGTCCAATATTTTGTTATCTTAATTAGATTTGATATGACTTTTGTTAAAAAAAAATATCAACAGCACAAAAAAATGTCTAAAGATATTACTTGTGGGGTGTTTAAGGGGGGTTTATGGAAGAAGATTAGGGCAACTGAAAAAATAAAAAAGTTAACTGATTTTTACATTTCATTTCAGTATAATATGAGAAAAAAGTCAGAATTCTCACTTTAATCTCAGAATTCTGACTTTTTTTCTCAGAATTCTGACTTTAATCTCAGAATTCTGACTTTAATCTCAGAATTCTGACTTTTTTTCTCAGAATTCTGACTTTAATCCCGGAATTCTGATTTTTTTCTTAGAATTTTGACCTTAATCTCAGAATTTTGAATTTAATCTCAGAATTCAGACTTTTTTTCAGAATTCTGAATTTAATCTCACAATTCTGAATCTTTTCTCAGAATTCTGACTTCATCTCAGAATTCTGACTTAAACCTCATTCTGACTTTAATCTTAGAATTCTGAGATTAAAGTCAAGATGAACAAAAATCCTTAAAGATGCTTTAAGCTCTGTTGTGAATTATCTACAATATAAACAGGTTTGTTTCGTCATTCTTCATAGAAATTTAAGAAAACACTGACTTCCAGTTTACGATTACATTCCAACTATGCGGATAATATATTTACAAAAACATATCATTACTATGGCTGCACCTAAGCAGCCGTAGTTACCCATTTATCTTATTAAAAACAGAGCATGAGTACTTGGCTGGTTTAGCGAGTCGCCATGTGTGGAAAGTTTATGGTTATATAACCTACATACGGTAAACAAGGAGGATGTTGCAGACTGTACAATATTCGGAAATACATATTTGGTGTGCTCTTAAAAATCCAGGGTGTTCATTGGTTAAACTGAAATGACAGGCTCCGCCCACCAACCGTTTATTACCTTTTCTACTTCCCTCCGCTTCTTCCAGTAGTTCTCCACCCACCGGCAGACAGAGAGGACGCAGCTTAGCCAACGCGGGTTCCCGATCTAAACATATGGCAAAAATAGCCCTTCTTTCTTTCAACGTTGGGCCCACTACTCTTTAAAAATTCCGCCAAAAAAGAGAAGACGATTTTCCAAAACCTTTCGGCCGTTATCTCACGTAAGTACAGCGGAGCTCGGCTGTTACTCCAGTGAGGATTCATTAAGCGGACGCTAACATGGCGGGCTGCTCTTTCTGCCTTCTTGCTACACATGACACCATTCACCGAGCGCTGTTATTCCGTCATGCCCTCTGTTTTTGTATTTTAACATACAAATATCCCTTAATCCACTCTGTTTTAGTGTGTGTTCGTGTAATGTACACATGACAAGGTGTATTCTTTATTTATTATTAAAGTATGGCTTTAACAAATCCGTCTCAAAACGAAGGGCAGCCGACAGCTACTCCACCATGTCTCTTTACCCAGTGTGTTTTTTTCCCCCGTTTTTTTATTTTCTCATTAATTTTAGCATAATCGCTAACTGAATACCTCATGGTGATATCACTAGTGCTTTTATATTGTTTATGTTATCTTCTTTGGTGACGCATTGAATTAATATTCAATTTGTCAAGTTGTCACTCAGTGTTTTCACTCATGGCGCATGCGCGAGATTTGGCGAGAAGCTCTCGCTGATCTCAGATCATTGGAAGCAACTGAGTGCCTGATAAACCGGCCATCTTTGAAGTAGAGGCATAAAATTAAACTACCGGTATTAGCAATGTGGCTGTCCAGAAGAAAACCATATAACATATTGTCCTTGTATTACTAGTTTTCTGTGGCATTTGAGATGTCTTATTACCAACATGTTACGTTGAGACAGCCTGTATCTTGTTTAAACCATATGAATGTAGTTTTGTCAGGATCATGTTTATAGTCTAGGTAAATATGCTAAATAATGTTTTTGGTTCTATATTGATCATGAATTTCAGTATGTCAGAGCCCCAGTAGGGCGCTATTTTGTTCAGGCTTGTATTTAAGCAGTAAAAATTTATTGTTGGGTGTGGTTATTATATGGTTTAAAAATCTGATCCCTGATGTTATTTTTATTTTATCAAATCAGGTCAATCGGTTTTATTTTTTCTGTACCTCAATAATCTCTTATTTCAACCATCCCGGTTGGGAGGTGACCTTAACTTTAAAGTGCAAGCCTTTAAACATGCTTTTAAAACAGTCATGTTTCACAAAAATGAAAATATAACACACTTAATGTTTGCTGCTAGTGATATTACACTGTGAGGTTGGGTATCAGTTGTAAGTACACATCAAGGAACAAACAAGTGATGAATTTCTGTCAATCTGAGGAATGGAAGCCCAAGAAATGCATTGGCTGGGGGGAATCCAGATTTACAAAAATTTGATTAATCATCTAAACATTCTTATCCTGCTATTTGTTGTGGATGCTGTGCTGATTCCATTATTTTTTTTCCCCCAAGCCTTTGCATGACCTAACCATTTTCATTGCATAGTTAACCCCAACATTGTCCTAATCTCAATTCACACCTATTTCCCAAATTCAGCCATTTACAGGAAGTGGGGACTTGCAAAATGTCCACATTTTTTGGTACAAACTGTTTTAAATTTGATGGTGAAATCAAATAGTCCTTACTCTGATGCCAAGAAAGCAGTACACACACACTATCTAGATGCCTTGTAACTGAGCCATTGAAGGTCTAACAGAGTGATTTAAAGAGTTATAAAAAGTGTCATTATCATTAAAATTCTCTTAACTTTCACTTCCAGTTTCTTAAAGTGTCTTAAAACCAAATGTATTTCTCGCCCTCTTTGTTAAATCCATACAGTCAGGGAACCTATTTTAAAACAAAAATATTTCAGTTGGAGTAGAAAGCCATCAGATTCAAGCATTTGATGTTGAAAAATGAGATAATTATTGCTACAGCATCTTAATATTAGGCATGATTTATCAAAAAAGTGTGTTTAAAAAAAAACATAAAACACATCATCTTTAGACATAAAATTTATGATTGTTCCTTGACCACTTTACTAGGCATTTCCTTTACCATAAAAAGGCAAATAAATTGGTCTTTTTGAGGAGAGAGTACAGACTTGTGCAATACAATAAAAATCAAGCAGTTGGAGGTAAAATGGAAGCTGCTGATCAACTAATCGTACCAGACCTACATAAACATCCGTAACATCTTGTTTTATTGCCTCCTGCCTTTGCCTTCATGTCTAACGTTGTTATATATCTTTTCCAGGGCTCCCCTGTCTCTGCACAGGTGTATGAGCGCTACCCAGAGGGCCTAGGGGCGGCCCTTTACAGGGAGCACTTTGACTTCAACGCTGAGCCACCTTGGGATCCTAGCTGATAGCGGGACAGGTCCATCTCCTGACTTGTCCATGTTAGTGTTTCTTTAATTTGTATGAAAAAAAAGTCTACCAGAACATTTGGTTTAAAGAAAAACGTTAGAGAATCAAAAGTTAAATTGACAGTTTTTCCCTTCTTTTCAGTTTGTTGCATACCGGCAGGACCCCATTGGCTCAGTCGTGACCCCTTGGCTATATTTACTTCTTCTTTATGATCGTCGGCTTAGCGGAATACGGTTAAGATGAAAGGATTCCCTGACAAACCAAGCTACATCCTCGAACTCCTGGAGGGAGGAGTTACTCTGGAAGATGTTATTGATGGACACATCTGCGAACAGGATCAGGTAAATTTAAGTTTGACAATTTATAAAGTTTTGTAAAATTGCTTTTAAGTGCAGTGTTGACCGACTATTACGTTAACAGGTGGAGAAAAGTGCGTTTGTGGTGGGTGACCTTGGTGCCCTGATGCGCCAGCACACCTGCTGGCAGAGCGTGGTGCCCCAGCTGCAGCCTTACTACCCAGTGAAGTGCAACAGCAGCCCTGCAGTCATCGAGGTTCTGGCCTCTTTTGGCCTGGGCTTTGTTTGCGCCAGCAAGGTGAGGATGTATAACTTAAAAAAGCACATGCATGTAATCCTCTTATGAAATGGTTTGTTTTTGTTTTTTTGGGACAGTTGCATCACAAGCACTTAACTGATTACATATCACTGGATAATTGTTATCCATTAAACTTATGTAATGCTCCAGCTTTTTTGACCATGCTTGGGTTAATGCTAAAATGATTTTCTCTTCTTCCATTCAGGCTGAAGTGAGTCTAGTTCTGGAGCATGGTGTGTCACCAGAGAACATCATTCTGTCAAGCGCTTTCAAGCAGCTGGGACACATCAAATATGCTGCCAAGAACGGCATACAACACCTTGTGTGTGAAAATGAAGCAGAGTTGTCCAAGATTGCTCGCCTGCACCCAGATGCAAAGTAAGTCAGGAAAAAATTATAAACAGTTCATCATAGTAAGGAGGAATTTCGTATTTTTTGTTTGAGCTTGCATGCCACTACAAATCATTAATGTTTAGTTGCCTGTGACTTATATAGTGTATATTTCTTTCAGGCTGTTGTTGCAGTTAACTACTGAGGCTCATGCAGCAGAGACCAGCATGCCCTTTGGCTTTTCACTCAAGAGCTGCAGACATCTGCTTGAGGCGGCCAAGGAGCTGGGCGTCCAGGTAGTTGGAGCGGCCTTCCACATCCCGAGTACCTGTCAGGACGCACAGCAGGCCTACAGCCGGGCGCTGTCGGATGCTCGCTGTGTATTTGACATGGGGGTAAGGGCCTACCTCAGACAATCTTGATTTTTTTGTCATTAAAACAATCTTGCTGTTTATTTCCTTATTGAGAAAAAAAATATCTGCATTTCATTTCAGCTGGATCTGGGTTTTAACATGAGCATCCTGGATATCGGTGGTGGATTTACTGGCTCTGAGTTTCAACTTAAACAGGTCAGCAGTTAATAGTCTGATGTGACTTTTTTTATGTTTTACTTAAACATTTTTACCAATGTTGAAAATTTGTTTTTATGTTTTTCACATTTCAAAAGAAGTGCAGGGATAAATCGAAGCAATATTTCTGTTTTTGACTCCAAGCGTGGAGACCTTCAAATATATGAAGGTTCTACTTTTGTTTCCACTTCAAGCAGGATTTTGAAAGAGGCAGATTTATCCTAAATATGAAGTATTGAATCACATATTGAAATAAAGTTTGAGTTCTCTAAAATGGTTTAAATTCTCTTTTATGCAGGTTGAGTCTGCAGTCCGGCCTCTCCTGGATGCTTACTTCCCCCAGCGATCAGGTGTGCAGGTTCTGGCCCAGCCCGGCTACTTCTACGTGGCATCTGCTTTTACCCTGGCTGTCGGTGTAATTGGCAAGGAGATGGTGGCCAACCACTGGGAGAATTTGTCCCAAGGTGAGATGTTTGTTTTTTAAGTACATTGCTTTTCAGAAATAACACTGTGTTGCTAACATAATTGTTAAAATTATTAACACAGGTGATAAGAATGAGGATACAGAGTTCCTGTACTACATGAACGAGGGTGTTTATGGCTCATTCAGCCACAAGCTGTTGGGAAGCGTCATCACCACCCCTTCAGTGCACAAGGTTCGTACAACAATGGTTGCTCTGGTTGAATACAGAAGAAAATTTAGCATGCAGCAGTTTTTTTTTTTAATTTTTTTATTATTTTTTTTTTTATGTAAATGTCTGAATGGCAAAGCTTAAAATTCAGAGTTGCACCCCGGAAGTTTGTTGGAGTGTTTTCGATACTGGTCAGTGTTTCCTTAAGGACTTATTTACTCTGCTCTAATGTGCAAACACAGCAACCTGTGCTGCCAGTAGTGCTGTAAGTCACTCTATAGCAACAGACAGTTTTCAAGCCATGGATTGATCCATTATTACTTGATTACGTTGTTTTCTAATAATTGTCCTGAAGTTTATTACTTCCCCCAATGTTTGATCTAAGGAAAAACAAAAAGTAGACAGACGTTAAAGTAAAAGAGCAGACTGATGCACTTCCTTGTTAGGGATGTGATGCAAAACTCCCTACGAACCAGAGAACTGTTTTTGGAAACAGATTCTTGCAGGACTCTTAAGGCTAGAACACAGAAGTAATTTTGTTTTCTAATCAAAGGGCAAATCGGATTTCATAAATTTGTACCAATTGCAGCTTATTGAAATTAATTGTGCTGACCAGGCTGCTGAGATTTCTCTGCAGCTGTTCTTGCATGGTTTTGACTGAGTTAAACCACTGATCTCTTTTGGTCAGGCCTCTGTGGCAATTTGATAGAAATAATCTGAGTCTTGACAGGAAGAGAGACACGTTGACAAATTAAAATCGTGCTTTGAGTAGGGAAAGCAGCCAGCTTTGTCCCTATCAGCTCTTCCAGAAAATTAGTCTGTTTAGCATCTTTTTTACTTAATAGCAAGGGCGAATGCAATACAGCCTCATTTAAGCCAGATGACCGAAAACAGATTGGATAGGGGAATACATCTTTTTCTTTTAGCTTCCTTCAGTAATCTTGAAAGTTTTTGAAAATATAGCCTATTAAATGATATAGAGCCATGCAGACTTGCTAGAATAATCATCCCACACTTGATGAATAAGTTTGAATTAGTGTTTTTGGAGGGTATCGCAAAAATCGGTGGGTCAGCCTGATTGGTGTTCCCACAGCATACCGATCAAAGCAGAGACGATTTTAGCGTGGCTCGCTTGCTGTTCTCCCTACCACTATAAGGCGATTGTTCCCGGGTTTATACGGGATTTTCGGTCAATCGGAAAGTGGTATATCTATAGCCTTTGTGTTCACCTCTCTGCATAGTTTGATGCATTCTTTTAATGAAAGGAGGAATTGCCACAAAACCAGACTTGTGTTGGGGTTTGACTGATTCCTATTCTATTGACCATGAGCTAAAAGGGAGATTACGTTTAAATAAAACATATCTTGTTTTTCTACATGATCTTATGGAATTTTTTTTATATTTTCTATTAAAAAAAAATTCCTCTGTCTGCAGCATGCACTGTGTGCAGATGAAGCGGTGTATCCCAGCAGTCTGTGGGGCCCATCACTGGACCAACTGGACCAGGTCGTGGAGCGCTGTCTTCTGCCTGAGCTCATGGTAGGAGACTGGCTGCTTTTCTCCAACATGGGGACATGTGGTCTGGAGGAGTTCAGCTGTGCCTCCACCTCCAGCCAGCTGCCAGTCTACTACACCGTTTCCACCTCTGACTGGTGAGTGCTGAGTCAAACTGCAGAAAAATAAGGTGTGCTATTCTTAAAGATGCAAAGAAACAAGCTCATTTTCATACTCTTATGTGCTCCAGGTACGAAATGCAGGAGGCGGGTGTGGTGCTTGAAGGTGCCATGAAGAACTTCTCCATGCTCCAGTACAGCGCGTAACTAGGTTTTCCCCTGTCCCAGCTTGGATTGCACAGTTGTTCCTTCCTCTGCTCTCACTATGTGAGAGGAGAGGTCGGGCTGGTGTTCCAGACAAGGGGCTAAGTGTCCTCAACATTCCAGCCACCTTGGGGGGGATAAAGCTGTGTCCTGTCAATATTTCCTTCCAGAGTTCGACTTTTTAGCTTTTCACTCCTAGAAATAGGAGAGTTGATTTTGCGATACCTCGATTTAATCCTAAATTCCCCTGGTTCATAATCGGAGTCCTGCTGCTCTCTGAAGGGCTGAATCTGTCGAGTAAAAGCTCAAATGATATTATGCAACAAAATGGATGACTCATTGAAGATGGGACAGTTTATTTTTGAATCAAAGTCCGTTTACAAATTGTATAATTTAATCAGTTAAAACAAATCGTCTATTGATAATCTGACAGTCTTTTAACCTCAAGCACATTTTTGTCTACATGAATTTTTTTTTTTTTCTTTGTCATTGTAGATTCAATACTAGAGATGAACCCTTACTTTGTATAGAATTGATAGTTATCTAACCTTTTGCTAGACTGCAGCTCACCTCAGTGTTTTATTTATTGGAATCAAATATTACGGTGACATATTTCAGAGTTTAACTTTAAATGTGTCTTGTCCAGGTAATATTCATCGGCCCATCTATCAGTGTTTTCCTGATAACATATTTATGTGGTGTTTATTTATTAACTTTTTTAAACGCTACAGGATTAGAAGTGCTGTGACCTCAGTGGTTTTCCCTTCATTCAAAGGGTGTGGCAGAATTTATATCATTGTGTGCTGTCTCTGCTGATACAGACAAACCAAATGGTAACACTCCTCATCTCAAGCAGAGAAGGGGCTCAGTCTGGTTAATAAGACAGTTATTTGGATTAAAACCAGCTTTCAGATCTACACATGGGTGTCGCTTTTGGTCCTTTATGGAGGATCCCCAAAGCTAGCTATTGAAGTATATTAAAATTCTATACCAAAAGTACATAAATGTCTCCCTCTTTAAATAGAAAGACATTGATAGTTGAACACAGGCTTCTCTGATGAATTTCATATTAAATCTTTCATTATGCCTCTTGAAAGACATGAGGGGCACAATGCGGAGTCTCTTGTATAGCTTCATGTTTGATAACTTAATAGGTAATGTGACTCAGCAGCAGTTTGTAAGAATCCTGCCCTTGTGTTTTACAAGTGACTAATGTATTAATTGTCTAAGGCACTAATGGACCATAGCCTGTTTTGACTGTAAATTGTGCTTGTTAAAGCAATGAAAGTGATTAATTTAATACATTTCTGACTGAACAATCTACTTGTGTATGTCTTTTTTTGGAGGGTTGGGCTGTTTTCTTTCAGCGGTTGTGAAAAATCACTAGTTACTATACAGGCTAAAGTAATGCAAAAAAAAATTCAATCAAGAATTCCTTAATGTATAACTTGACAACTTTGTTATTATCCATAAATAAGAAATCTTACTATATGATAAAATCTGGGTAAAATAAAAGAACCCAAAACCTATAAAGCATTAGTTAAGTTCTGAGTAAATGATCAAAAGAAGATGAAAGCTCTTCTCACATTTACTAAATAAAATACATTGATCTCGAAGACGCCTAATAAAGTATTCTGTGGCCTGTCCAGGAAACTTTTTGGTGTGTATGTCCTTTGAACCAATAAAAAAGGAATATATTTTCCATAACACTAACCATCATACAAGCAAAGTTATTGTGACTTTCTGAGCTTCCAGTAATCAGTTTGACCTGCACATGGATAAGGCTCATGCAAATCAGGAAGTCTTTATTTCTGAAAGCGATAGAAATACTGTGGTATTTTCCTAACGATGTGGTTTGAAAACCATCCTAGGTAGCTGAATTGAAACACTGACTTAATTGATCTCACAGTAGAGAAATTTACTCAAATAGTCAAAAAGAGAAGGTGCATGGAGTATTTACAGTATATACAGTGCATCCACATACATATGACAGCTGAAGTCTAATATAGCTGGATTGTTATACAAGTTATTGCACACGATATTTATATATATGGATTATTATATAGCTATTGCACTGGGTATCAAATATAAAACAGGTTATTGCACAGGGTATTAAATAGTAATTGCGCATTATACATTGCACAAGTTACTGTCAAATAGTGTTGCATTGTAGAGTGGTTGCAGCAGAGATTATTTAACTGCAGGAGCACTCCTTTAGACAAACGTAAAAGTCTTTCACTAATGGAGCTGCTCAGCTCCTCTACAGTCTGGTGCAGAGGATGGAAGATGTTGTCCATGATGGATGTAAGCTTGGACAGCACTGTCCTCTCAAGGCACCTCAGAGACAATTCAACCAGATCATAGAGTCAGATTGATTAAAGTTTTCTATCTAAGGAAATTCAGTTTATTGCATCAACTCACTGACTCAAAGACAATTCCTCACACCAAGACCAAGTATGCTTCTAGTGACAGTGGAAAGGTAACCTCCAGCAGAACCGGGCTCAGTGTGGCCGTCTGCCGAGGCCGAAGGGTTCAATTTCATTCAATTATATTTGATTTACTCTGATCAACCTATGTTATATATACATATTACATTCATTATTGTGAATAAAATGTGGAAAAATAATTCAAGAAGCAAACATGTACATTTTCACAGCCATATGATGTGGATTTTTTTTAAAAGAGCTTGTTTCTAACCATTTTTTTTTCACCAAATCTGGATTAGATCTGGACAATATGATCAAATATTTAATTTAGATCAAGATTGTTGTGTTTGTATCTATTTCAATGAGGTTCAGTTAAACAGACTGATCCTGGATCAGCAGGCAAAGTGTTCCTCTTGCAAAATAACTACTGGATCCACATACTATGTTTTGATTTTCTCATTGCGGATCCATTTAGGCAGGAATTATCAACTATTACAATAAGGTGATGTCAACTTTTTATCTGTAATCAAGGTTCAACAAGGCTTGTCCAAATTTATAACAGTGAGAGCACACCCAATCCTTTCTCAGAGAAGATTAATCAAAGGATGATGCAGCATTTTGAGATTAAGTACTTTGTCTATGCAGAATTCCTGAACAATGTTACAGCAGTGTAAATGGTCTGCAGATTGTTAGTATGAAACTTTTGTTCAGCTGTACAACTGTCACTTATCATTAGCCCAGCATATCCTAAACTTTACATTTTTTAAGCTGGGTCTAGATCCACATTCAATGAATAAAGTTTCAGATCAGTTTCGTCTGTTTAGTTTAAACTTTTAAATTGTGCGTACCATGCTAAAATGTCTGCAAAATAAATCAGCTTTATAGAGATTTTTGTTCATTATTGCATTAGATATATTTTTATTCAGGGATACTCTGTCTGAAATATAGGACAAGTAAACCACCGAAACAGAAGGTAAGCCCATTGCTAAAAAGTTAGGTGTTTACACTGAGTATCATGTTAATGGAAAACTGAGTGGAAGAGAAAGAAAGTGTTGAAGAAAGAGATACAGAGATACCAAAATCTTGAGATTTTGAAGCAAAGCCCATTTAGCCGTTTGAAGGACATTAACAGGTCATGGACTGTGACTGGAGTGAGAGATTCTAGAGCAACCATAAAAGGTGTGTCTGGGAAAAGAGCTATGACTATTACATTGGGCCACACCTGATCCATATAATATAAGAAGCTTTTTTACCCAGGCTAAAGACAACAGATCCCAGAGTGTGATCACGTTCTATGGGGTCCAGTGTGAACTTTGAACAGAAAGGAACCATTTAGATCAAGTTTCCCATTCTTTTTTGACTTGTGTACCCCTTTGGGCATTTTTTCTTACCATGGGTACCCCCCTCAGTCAAAGGTACTGATAATTGTCCGAAAGTGGAACGTACAATAATTGATTACAAAATAAAAACTACTTTACTTAATCTTTTAATTTGAGCATTTAATTCTTAGGCATTTAACAAAAACTTAGTTTTTGGTTGATAAAAGATTGTATATTTTTTTAATTGGGTCCCCAGAAACCAAAACAAATACCAACCCTATTTTATTTCACTACCTACGAAATAAAATATTTTCATGTACCCCTTGCAATGCACTCGTTGACCAATAGGGAGACGAGTACCCCAGGTTAGGAATCACTGATTCATACATCTATGACATCTGCAGGAGTTGATCCAGTACCTGTGCTTTCTGGCTGATGTTTTGGTCACTTTGGAATGCTTGTGGTGCTTTCACACTCATGTTAGCATACAACAGACTGTACAACCCACACAAGTGGCTTAGGTTGTGCAGCTCATCCAGGATAGCACATCAATGCGACCTGTGGCAAGACGGTTTGCTGTGTCCCTCAGCATAGTGTCCAGAGACTGGAGGCGCTAATAGGAGACAGGCCAGTACACCAGGAGACATGGAGGAGGCCATAGGAGCACAAGTGCACAAGTGGTTAGAAACAGACTATGAGGATGGTATAAGGGCCTTTGCATTTGCCAGATGACATCAGGATTTGCAAATTTGCCACTGTCGCCCTGTGCTCTTCCCAGATGAAAGCAAGTTCACACTGAGCACATGTGACAGAGTCTGGAGACAAGGTGGAGAGCGATCTGCTGCCTGCAAAATCCTTTCGCAAGCCCCGTATGGCAGTGGGTCAGTAATGTTGAGGAGTGGTATTTCTTTGAAAGGCTTCACAGACCTCCATGTGCCAGGTAGCATGACTGCCATTTAGCACTGAGAGGAGATCCTCAGACCCCTAGTGAGACCACATGCTGGTGCGGTTGGCCCTGGGTTACTCCTAATGCAGGACACTGCTAGACCTCAAGGTTAAGTCATTGAAATTATGGACTGGCACGCCTGTTCCCCAGACCGGAATCGGATTAACCACATCTGCCACATCATGTCTTGATCCATCCATCAACATCATGTTGCACCACAGGCTGTCCAGGAGTTGGCAGATACTTTAGATCAGTTTTGTAAGGAGATCCCTCAGGAGACCATCCACCACCTCATCATGAGCATGTCCAGGTGTTATAGGGAAATCATACAGACAAATGGAGGCCATACACAATACTGAGTCTCATTTCACCTGTTTTAAGGACATTAGATCAAAGTTGGATCAGCCTGTAGTGTGTTTTTCTATTTTATTTTTGTGTGTGACTCCAAATCCAGGCCTCCATCAGTAAATAACATTGATTTCCATTGATGATTCTTGTATGATTTTTGTTGTCAGCTCATTCAACTTCATACAGAACAAAGTCCATCCATCCATCCATCCATCCATCCATCCATCCATCCATCCATCCATCCATCCATCCATCCATCCATCCATCCATCCATCCATCTTATGTCACGCTTATCCCAAGCGGATGACGATGAGTGCTGGTGCCTATCTCCAGCTGTCTACGGGAGAAAGGCGGGGTACACCCTGGACAGGTCACCAGTTCATTGCAGGGCAACACAGAGGTACACAGAAACAAACAACCATTCACACACACACACACACACACACCTAAGGAGAATTTAGAGAAACCAATTAACAGTTATGCTTTTGGACTGTGGGAGGAACCTAGAGTACCCGGAGAGAACCCACACATGCTCAGGGAGAACGCATGCTACCCACTGCACCAATGAGCAGCCAGAACATAGTATTCAATAATAATGTTTCATTGATTCAGATCTAGGATTTGTTATTTAAGTGTCCATTTATTGTTTATTTCCAGTGTATTTCCAGCTGTCAGTGGGTGAGTGCGGGCACAACCTAGACAACCAACTAGTCCATCAAATGGAAACACAGAAACAAACACTTGCGCACACATACTCACCTGTTTTTGGTAGGGAAAAACCGGAGGCCCAAAAGGAAACCCTCCACCACTGAGCAGAAAGAACACTAAGGAAAATCCCGGTAAACCATAGAACAATACCTACTGGGAACTGGTATGCTGGGAGACTGGTAAGGATGTTGTAATATTGTACTAGGAGGCAAGCTTCAAAAAGCATTATCTTAGATTTTTTATTAAATTTTTTATGATTTTGACATATTTCCTTGTACATTTGTCAGCAGAGATGATATTAGACCTCCTGCCAGAGTGCTGCGGTGTATCCAGCTATGTGGGGTCAAAGTATTTTTTTTACATGTTTTCATACTTTCACTTCTCTTTTGAGGGTTTTCTGTCAATAGTCTTACTTCCTCCCAGTGTACAGACATGCCTATAGGCCAACTGAGGACTTTAAACTTACCTTATAAAGACATTAAAAATATGTTGGACACCCGACAAGTAATTTTTCTAACATTATTTGGACACGATGATCTTCAGTGTGGATTTCAGTGCCTTAAGATTCAA